CAATTGTTTGTATTGGCATACAAAGATGCTTCATTTTCACATGTGACTATGCCTTTATCATATTTATAATGCTTTGTAGAGTCCTAAAATGATATTTCCAGTTCAAAAACTGTTTACTTCTTGATTTATTCATCTTAAGAAATTTTCAGGGTTTGCAGCTACTATAAGAACTTCATCTTCAATTCCTTTTCATTAACAATAAACTCTGGCACTGATGCCTTTTGGTCTTTTACTTATAAAAAGCACTGTGGGTTTTTGTATGTAAGATGCATACGGCATAGGTGCTCGGTGAAGGTATCATATTTAGAGTGCACAGAGGTGTTACAGCAGTAAATTTCAGTTTATTTTTCCCCATTCATCTTTTTAGCTTTCTGACAGATTTTTCTGACTCAAGTTGAGTAATACAATATTTGAAACATAGCCGCAATGGAATGTACAAGGAATTTCACTGTGTAGATTCAAATTTATTTGAAAAATAAATAGAAAATATACACCTTTAATCTTTGCTATTGAAAATTCTATGTCTCTTGGTAATATATATGTATCATCTAACTTTTAAGTTTTACTAATATCCCAGTAAAGTTTAAGGATGAAACTTGATAGTATTCAATTAAGGCAGAAACATTTTTATCATATACTATTAAAGTCATCAATTTGCCAAGATTCTTTGTAGTCTGTTTAGGCTTTGTTATATTAGTACTAAAGTATTTTAATATCGAGGAATCCTTAATACCTGTTGTAAATAATCTAAGGAGAAACAATCACTCAGATATTCTGACCAAGCAATTTCATAAATATCTACCATACCCACCACAGAGATAGTGGGGGCTCAAAAAGCTTCTGGAAAAATGAGATTAAAAGATGAGCTTTTTGATGCGAATTTTTTTTGAAATCCACGTATTTATTTTTATAACATGCATTTTCATAAACTTTTGAAGAGCCTTGTATTTAAGTACTCTTTTTTTCTTGGGTTTTTAGCTGACAGTATTTGTATGAGACCATTGAAATAACACTACCATTGGCATGATAAGATGACAACCCAAAGAGGCATGAAGCTTTAATTCAGTATCTTGAGGCAAAAAAATATGCCTATTCATGTACAACCAAAGATGGACCGAAGGGCATTCAAACACATTAAAAAAAATCCCTGTGTAGTTACGAGAACTGGTTGTGGGAAGTCAAGGGAAAAGAGAACAACAGTATAAAAGCATTCAAAATCCCCACACAGAATATGTGCCTCTGACTCCCTCTCTCATTGCAAACTAAATGCTTTTCTTTTTCTACTTTTAGGTTTCCAGTAATTTCAACTCTCCCATCCTTGCTATTTTGAAGAGCCATGGGCATAGAGGTGAGGTAAGAGACCCAGGGTAAGTGTAAATTGATATTGCTTTAGCTGTGAGAGCAGTAAAAGTGAAATCACAACAGGAGCGACACTTTAGGAAAACATGAAAATGATCTGCTTCCAGGTGCGGGAACTGAGTAAGCAAGGGGTATCCAATAAACATGTGAGAAATATCTGCCCCTTGTGCAGTTCGAAAATGCACGGTAAAACTCCTCTTTCCGCACAATGCCAAAATATTTAGACAGCAAGTGAAGAATTGAAACAACAATGGAGACATGAATTGTTTGGTTGTGGAAACCAACTATGAGAAGTGTTTCTTCTTTTTTCACCATGGCACCTGGAGTGTGGCCATCTCTAGTCACAGCTCATCAAGAAAATTTGAAGCAATTGAAGCCATGAATAACTTCACGATATCAATTATATTTTTGCTCCCAAAATAATGTTAATTTTATGTTTTTATATCTTATCTTGTAGGAGGGAATTAACTCATTGCTTTCTAAGACAAGAACAGATGATGTATATGATGTATATAGCTCTTCAGCATCATATCATAGATTTATTCATTCTAGATCATTACAGTTTGGATTTTCAAAAATTATTCTTCCTCATTCTAACAGATCTTCTATATATTTTACAAATTTCTCCCAGATGAAAAACCAATAACTTCCTTGATGTTATCATGATATTTCTTTCAGTTGGATTACTATGAACAAGTTTATAATCATTTTTTAGCATATGTCAATCTGAAATTTTAATAAGAAAACTATCTTTTTATATTGTAAGTTTTAAAAGAAATCCACTAATGCTATGATGACATGCATTATCAGGGGATGCCACTGAAATGTATTCATTCATGTTCTTACAAAATTTCAGAGAGTGCTTTCTTGAATGAGAAGAAGTCTTAGATGCCAACAAGGATTTAGTTACTACTGTGAAATTAAAAATACATTAAAATGCTAGATACTTCTCAGGATCATCTAAAGGATAAAGGATCACTGGCATTCTCAAACATGAAAGAAGAGGTAAAGTTGGAGGAAACAGAGTAAAGAGCCCTGGCAAGTAAGACAGAAAAAGACATGGAGAGAAAAGCAACTATATAGGATGTGTATTCTCCAGAAGTTTATACTACTACTCTCTGCTGGGTGAATCCATTTGAAAAACACACCAAATGATCCTAACTGTTAAGAAATAACAAACAAATTTAACCAATCTGGAATATTGAGAAATTATTCAATCTATTCATCATTGTTATGAAATAACAAACAAATTTAACCAATATGGAACACTGAGAAATTATTGAACCTATAAAGCCAACAGAGTTTTAAGGCATTTTTAACATCACATGTAATGAATTAGATAGCATTGGAGTTACATTCTGCAGTCATTTGAAAAAGTAGCATTCACAAGGGTATCTAATAAGGATTATAAAGAACTCAGCCCAAAGATTCAATCATAAAGAAAGAAAAAATGGTACTTACAGCTAATAGTCCCAAGTACAATCTCCATGGATAGGAGAGGAGACTGGACACCGAAGTTGTAAATCATAGACAATCATTCTTTATACCTTACAGTTTTTATCCAATATTCAAAAGAAACAGTTGTTTGCAAATACGACTCCTTAATCATGCTCAAAATCTCTGTACTGATTAATACACTTTGTTTGCACACTATAAACCCTAGGCTCTTTGCTCAAAAGGACCTCCGTATTTCAAGCAGCCATGGTGAGAAAACACACACACACACACAGATAAACATTTGATCCTTCTCTAAGACAAACATGTCTCACCATAGTTTCTTGGATGACAGATATTCTGACCCCAAAATATTTAGGATTATAATTTGCATTCAACAGCCAGTTTCCTTTTCCTGAATCAAATGTACAATGTCTATTTAAATTTCTCAAACATGAGTTCCATAGAAGTTACAGCAAATGAACACCATTTTATAGAAACCAAAAAAGAAAATTGATCTTTTTGAATTAATCATCTTATGAAAAATCTGTTATTTAAGTAATTTAAACAGGCTATTCCATCTATTTAAAATAGGTCTTTAATAAGAACTCAGTATTTCCTCAGATTAGGAATTACGTTATCAGCTGTTGACCTTTGGAAATCCTGTAGCTTCAATAGGATTAAATGAAGTATAGAAGGCTGAAATGTTTTAAAACTTTAAGTATTTTGAAACTTAAAAAAAATTCATAATTCTTAGAAAGCCTGTTTTAATTAAAATATGTAATTTTGACTTTTTTTTTACCCTAAGTGGTATATATTTCTCATGAAAATGAAGCATGACAGTAAAATTTGTCTCACTTAATGGAGCCATGCCTACTCTTTTTTCCAGTTAAGGCACTTCCTAAGTGAGTTAAAGTTGTGGCAGATTCTGTAACAGTTCACTGGACCTCATTATTCTTTGAGTCATGTAATTAAATGATCCCAAGAAATAAAATCATAACAGCGTCTATAAATCAAAGAACCCTGTTCTTTTGGAGGCCAAAAACCAAATGCCAAGAAGGACCCATCCTAAAAGAACTCGCAGTACAACTGATACCACTGTGATTTCCATTATTATAAAGGCAATTCACAAACAAGACAAGTAAGATGATTTCTGGGACTCTGGCTGGCCATGCATTCTCTATTTCTATACTATCCAAGTTTCAATTGTCAGTCACATACTATATGCTTATACAGGAACAGGAACAACAACAACAACCAACCAATGCACAAATCAGTGATATGCAGATAAAATGAATTGATATTAACAATTTAATTGTTATTTTGCCAATAGTGCTTTTAACAACACTAAAACCTAATCAGGGTAATGTGTAACTGAAATGATCCACAGGGTAATGTGTCTAAAACAGTTTTCAAACACATTTCTGGTTAGAGTTGTGATGGACCTTCCACTGTCGGCTTTTGAATTCAGCTGTTTGTTACACATTCATTATATTCTCAGGAAGGAGAGTTTTGTTTTTTTTTGTTTTTTTGTTTTTTAAATCTCCCCTTAACTATTGCAGCTGCTTCTACCAAGCAACAAAAGTTGCTAGAAAAATCATATAAACACATACATGTAAAATTAGAGAAACAAGCTGCTTTATTGCCCGATTTAAAATAAGCTCAATCAGTAGAAAAGAAAAATGCTATAATATACAGCTTGATGAGCAGCTGAAGACAAAAATATACTGTCGCAGTTTTAGAATTTGAAAAAATATCATATTCAATGATGTTTGAGTGAGAAGAAGGACAATTTCTTCTCTTACTTTTTCTAAATTACTGAATAAACAAATAGGATTTGTGTGAAGAACTTCATCCAAGATAGGCATGAAAAAGTTTCACATATATCAACCTGAGGTTTCAAAGGCAGAATAAGAAAAGGCCCTGCTCCTACTTACTTCCTTTTGATGAAATTTTTATTATTTTAAATCCTACTTATGAAAATTCTTGATTAAAAATATGACTTTCATAAATCTGCAATAAATTTTTGCTAGATTGTTCATACTCAACCATTGGTAGGAAAACAAATATATCAACTGTATCGCAACACTAAAGCAAAGAATATGGATTAATAAAAAGACTAAAATTAAATCAACATTTAACCATCATCTCTTTGTCTACGAGAAAAAGACATTGAAATTATTTGAAAAATATGAAAACAGTCTTACTCTTGACGGTTGCTGTCCGGGTGCAGTTATAGAGAATGGCCAACTCCCCAAACACTTTTCCTGGACCCATGGTGCACAGCTTCACCCCTTCTTTTGTAACTTCAACTTTCCCATCTAAAAAGCAAAAGGGAATATATTTTATCTTAATTCTTTCTCTTGGTCTATTTCATTTTTTGCATTTCTGATATGAGATGGAAATGCCAGCCCCATGTTTTAAAACAGAAAGCATTCACCAAATTTGTCATTTGGATGCTATGAAAGAATTCCAACAAAATATATAAGAAATACATACATTTTCTGAAATTCATCACGTATTAGAAGATTTAAGATGAGACTCAAAGAAAAAAATACCAGGAACGATGGAGCCAAAAATGTAAACGTTATTCTAAATGTGATATTAGTAAACTGTAGTAATTCTAATTTTAACATAATTTTGAATCTGAGAGAAAACTAGCGTAAGTGGATATATTTCCCACAGCAAAGTCCACATTTGGTAATTCCCTTTGAGTAAGTAGCTATTATGAAGTTACTTTGACCCTTGGCCATTATTTAATTGCAGCACAATTTGTTGAAGAAACTGTCCTTGCTCCAGCGATTGATTTTACCTCCTTTGTCAAATATAACTTGGTTGTAAATGTATGGATTGATTTCTGGCATTTCTATTCTGTTCCATTGGTCTATCCATCATTTTTGTACCAGTACCAAGCTGTTTTGATTATAACTACCTGTAGTATGTCTTGAAATCTGGTATTGTGATGCCTCGGGCTTTGTTTTTGTTGTATAAGATTGCTTTAGCTATTAGGGGTCTCACGTGTTTCCATATGAATTTCAACTTCATTTTTTCTACATTTGAGATGAGTGTCCTTGGTATTTTGATTAATATTGCATTTTAATTTTTAATATTGCATATTAAATTCTGTAAATTGCTTCCAGTAGTATGGACATTTTGATGATATTGATCCTTCTAATCCATGAACATGGAAGACTTTTCCACTTTTTTGTATCTTCTTCTATTACTTTCTTTGAAGTTTTGTAATTCTCATCACAGAGATCATTGACATCCTTGGTTAAATTTATTCCAAGGTATTTAAATTTTTTTGCAGCTATTGTAAGTGGGATTGATCTTATAGATTCTTTCTCAGCCATGGCATTTTCTATGTATACAAAGGCTGTTGATTTTTTTCGAGTTGATTCTATATCCTGCCACTCTATCAAACTCTATGAGTTCCAATAGTCTCTTAGGGAAGTATTTAGGAACCCCTATATACAAAATCATGTCATCTGTAAACACGGATAGTTTGACTCCCTCCTTCCCAATTTTTATCCATTTGATTTCTTTTACCTATTGGCTCTGGCTGAAACTTTCAGGACTATATTGAATAGCAGTGTTGAGACTGGGCATCTTTGTCTGCTTTTGGATCTCAGAGGGAATGCTTCCAACTCCTCTCCATTAAATAGGATGCTGGACACGGGCTTGTCATCAACTGCCTTGATTGTGTTGACAAATGTTCCTTCTATATCCAATTTGCTTAGAGTTTTCATAATGAAAGGGTACTGCATTTTATCAAATACTTTGTCTGCAACTATTGAGATAACCATATGGTTTTTATTCTTCAGTGTTAATGTGATGTGTCACATTGATAAATTTGTGAATATTGAACCATTCCTGTTCAGGGATATATCCCACATGGTTCAGGTGAATGATCTTTCTGATGTGTTGTTGGATTTAATTGGCTAATATTTTGTTGAGGATTTTTGCATCTATGTTCACCAGGGAAATTGGTCTGTAGCTCTCTTTCTCTGTTATATCATTTTTTAGGTTTAGGAATTAAGGTGCTGCTGGCTTTACAGGATAAATTTGAGAGGATTGTCTCCCTTTCAACTGTTTAGAATAGCTTGAGAAGGATCAGAAGTAGAGCAGCCAAGGCTCAAACTGACATCTACATGGGATGCTGACGCTTCAGGCCAGGGTGTTAACCTGCTGTGCCATAGCACTGGCACCATTTTTAGTCTTTGAGATAATATATTTTTATTTAAAATTACAATCAAGGGCTTAATGCTCCACTAAACAAAGAGATCAATAAGTACAATGTGAAAAAGACCATGATTTAGCAATAATATAGGTAAGAGCTAAAAACAACAATCCAATGGAAAGACGACTATTAAACTCACTTTTCCTCTTTTTACACACACACACACACACACACACAAAATCTTCCCATCTGCAGATTGACTCCCTGCATGTCTGCACCAGCCAGGTCTGTGTCAGGCTGCAGCTAGAAGCCAGGAACCCAAATACATGGGCTATCTTCTAGTGCTTTCACAGATGCATTAGCAGAAAGCAGGATCAGAAGCAACATAGCCAGGACTTGTACCAGCACTCTGATATGGGGTGCCATTTTGCAAACAGCAACCTAACCTGATGTGTCACAATGTCAACCCACATATATATGTATATGAATGTATGTATAAATATACATACACAAACACACACATATCTTTAAAGTTTTATTTATTTCAAAGGCAGAATGACACACACACACATTTTCCATCCACTGATTCAGTCCCCAAACACCTGCAAAGGTAGGGCTGAGCCAAGACAAAACCAGGAACCATGAAATCCATCTTGGTGACAGAGACCCAAGTACTTGGGCCATCATCTATGGCCTCCCAAACATATTAGCAGTAAGCTGGATCGGAAGTAGAGGTGTGATTCAATCCCAGAACTCCAGTACATGATGTAGTTGTCCCATGCAGCAGCTCAACCCAGTATACCTGTACTCTTGTACTCTTCCTCTTTTTAAATAAATCTAGATTTATTTAAGCAATTTTTGTAAAAACCACAGTTCTGAGGTGCTATTTGTTTTCAAACATTTATTGAGATAAAATATTAAATATTAAAAAATTAAAATTTAATCTATGCATTAGTGCTGAATGATCTATCAGAGAACAGTTTTACCCTGAAAATTATTCCATTTAAACATTACCAAAAGAGAAAAATTCATCAGCAATGAGAATATAACTCCACAAAGTGTGTAATCATTTTGGTTGAACTATGTATATGGAACCCCTCATTGAGTACAGAAGCTATTCAGCAATGAATAAATTCAAGAACACAAAATGTTTGGGGAAAGTTACTTACACAAGTAGAGCCAATCAAATATTCCTGTTTCTCATGATCTACTTCTTGACTTCTAGAAAGAAACTCTTCCTCTTAATAGGCACATCAAAACCAGTCTAGTAAATCTATTTTTCTTTATATTTCATGTGTTTCCCATAAAATTTTCAGCAGGAAGTCAATTCCCCTAGAAATTTTATCTGCCACTCAAAAATGGGAGACAGCCCAAGTTATAACATAGAAATTAATCATCTGAAGTCAGACCAGGAATTGAGTTCTTGATCTCTTTTATCTGTTCCTTACTAGTTATATGACCATGGGCAAGTTGCTTAACTTATTTATGACTCACTTTCTTTGTTGGTAAAATGGATAACATAAAAACACCAATGTCATTTTGTGGTTGTTAAAATTATTATTATTATTTTTTTTTTTTGACAGGCAGAGTGGACAGTGAGAGAGAGAGACAGAGAGAAAGATCTTCCTTTGCCGTTGGTTCACCCTCCAATGGCCGCCGCGGCCGGCGCACTCTGGCCGGCGCATCGCGCTGATCCGATGGCAGGAGCCAGGTGCCAGGTGCTTTTCCTGGTCTCCCATGGGTGTAGGGCCCAAGCACCTGGGCCATCCTCCACTGCACTCCCTGGCCACAGCAGAGAGCTGGCCTGGAAGAGGGGCAACCGGGACAGAATCCGGCGCCCCAACCGGGACTAGAACCTGGTGTGCCGGCGCTGCTAGGCGGAGGATTAGCCTAGTGAGCCGCGGCGCCGGCCCGGTTGTTAAAATTAAATTAAATCAAGTTGATAAACCATTTAGCGGTGTCGGACACACAACAAATGCTCACTAAATGCTTACTTTTATTATTATACTTTTTATTATATGTATTTCCTATCATTTAAAGATCTAATTTATTATATTATATTGAAGCATAACATTGTATATACTATTATAGAAATGAACTGAGGTCTCCATGCAGAATAGATTTTTTTTTTTTTTAAATTGTGGAAGAGTTAGCTTTCAGATGTTTTCTCTAAACAGGAGGTTGAGGAGAAAACTTCTGAGTTCAAATCAGTATCATAAACAAAGAACAAAAATGAAGCTCAAGAAATCACGTTGATCTACTTGGCATAGCACAATGTTTTTGTACTCTTCTCCAGTCCCCGGTGTCCAGCCAACAACTGAGGTCATGTTGCCTTGCCTACTACAGTCTTGTGGTGGCAGCTCCCAAAAATAATCTAATAACTTTCTACTGTACTTTAGAATCCTCTTGATCTAAATCTTATAACATCAATTATATTAATAGACCTAAGAGCAAAATGAATAATGCCTAGAGAACTTCCATAAATAAATGATTTTCCATAAGTCTGATTCTTTCTCTTTGGTTTTGACAGTTTTCAGAGGAAAAAGAGGAACATCAGGACTATTGTTTTAGTTCAGTGGTTTTCTTAAAGGAAATCTTTGGACTCACCACATCAGAACTCATTTACAAAATTCAGATATCCCTCCAGCACCATGACCAACATACTCAATTCTGTTACCCTTTCCATCTCTAAAAGTCCATGCTTATGTAACACATATTTCAACTTATGAACAATTAATCTTGTAACTCATTATGTTTCTTGTTCTCATATGACCCCTACAAGAATCACAGCTAGAGCAGGATCAAACTCTGGGTTTTAAAATTTGAGTCCAAACTTACTTGTGCCTTATTTTATAACTTATTTTCCTGATCTTATTTTATATTTGCCCAATTTTCTCATGAACTTACTTTTGTTGAAAAGGTGGGCATAAGTTTATATATAAATGTATCCTCTCATGTATGAATAATTAATGCTAGTGACAAAAATTACCATACTAATTAGAATAGCTAACTTTTAAATACTTAGGCTGTGGTTGAGAAACAGCAATTTAGATATGAAATACTGTTTTAAGGTTAAGGTAAACACCAGAGGTTCAATATATTCACAGTAGCCAAGTAAAGGATCCACTATCATAAAATAAA